GGGAAAGAGGATCGTAGTGGAAACCGATGACCTGAAGGGAGTCATAAGCCAAAAATCATTAAGAAACCCTGGTCCAAAAGATATGGACCACGATCGTGTCGATATGACAATGTAAGAGAAATTCCTTGCAAGTACCATGCACGTTTTCAACGACTATGACTACTTTCCCATAAACGAAGCGAGACAACGAAGTCGTTTTCCGATATGATACTGAGAAGAGGATTTTTTGATAGATATGGACCGCGTTATTCCCAATGTCTATGACTAATTTTACCAGAAAAATAATAAATGAATAAAAATTGATCGACGACTTAATTCTTTAAATTGGAGAAGATACGCGTAATCGAACCGATTCTCAGAGTCAAGTACTTTCCAACATCGGTGATTAACTTGCAAAGAAAGAAACGGATAGATAAGGTCGATTTTCGAATTAAAAAGAGAAAAAAACACGCGCGTATCGATATTTCGCAATAGAATTTTCCCACAGCCACACCACGCGTCGTTTCTACAAACGAGGATGAATTTCGCGGGAAAATGGCGAACGGGTGAATTTTTGTCCGCGAAATTCTAGAAAGGGTATGCATCGTAAATTTCTGCGTCGCAGCAATGCTTGCCCACGTGTCTTGCACGATGCGAAACGAGTTGGCATGCTGGCGTCACGCCTCGTAACTCGAGAAAATGCCTAGAATCGATCGACTAACGGCCGAGACACGATTTTTCCAGGTACGAGCACAGGCACAAAACGAAACTAGGCCGTGCAACATTATCGCTGAATTTATTCCAACTCCATCGTACATGTGAACCTAGACACTCCATTTTTTCGCATAATTATACATTTACGTGCACCCGTATTATCCGCGTATCTGTGTATCGACCGTGAACGATAGATCGTTATCGAACCGCGGGATTTCGCTGGAAAACATCGATCTACCGATCGATCCAGGCTCTCTTCCAATTTTAATCGCGAAAACTTCACCAGCGATTCCAGGTATACCCGTTTCGAAGCGACGCAGGAATTCCACGAGATTCGCAGTCGGTGTAGACCGAGGCACTTCTATCACGGAAACGAAAAGTCCCCGAACAATAACCCTAGCTGATACTACCGCACCTAACAAGAGAAATGACGCAATTGTCTGGAATTGATTCAATTGCCTTCGAAGCGTACTGGCGCCGAAATATGTAAATCGACCTGTGTTTCCCGTCTCGCTTCCATCTTCCACTCTCATCCTCGACAAACCCGGGATTAGGTTATATGGACCAGCGACGTCTGGATTTCTCAACAAGATCCGCCATACCTTTTAAGAAAACCACCAGGCGAAGAAACGGATAAATTAGGTGAAAATTTACGTAAAATTTGTAATACGTAGCTAGATAAGGGAACAACGAAATCACGGTTGATTCCGATACCAGGAAGGCTACCACGAGCCAGAAAATATCGAAAAACCTTGGTCTGACCATGGTCTAGTTCTCAGTTAATGACACGAAGGATCCTCGTTCGGGACAGTACTGGAATTCGGATGATCCAGGACTGGACGCCCAGGTACGATCGAGCAATGAAGCACGAACGCATATATATCTCTCGGGGCTATCTAACCGGTAGTTAAAATTATCGGTACGTGGATCGACTGGTCCTTCGGGCAAAGTGCATATTGCGCGGACCTACGAACACGTCGAAGGGAATTATTGTACGCCCGAGTTATGGTTAGCACGCGGCTGAAGAATTTCTCTGCTGGGGATGAACCGGCAAATCCCTATTAAACACGCGGCGGCCTGCTTAACCCGCGGCTAGGACATTGACATCCGCGTCCACGATTAACCCTTCAGTCACGATATATCTTTTACGCATACCTAATTAACTTTTTAACGCTCTCCTGCCCGCTAATTACACCGCAGAGCCCTCGAGCAATGGCATTCC